AACCAATGTTTCTTATTTCTGGGGGCAGAGAGCTCCACAGCTTGGGAGCAGAGCAGCTGAAAGCTCTGCTTCCCATGGTGCTGAGGCGGAAGGAAGGTACAGCAAGCTGGATAGAAGAAGAAGAATGAAGTGACACAGAAGAACAGGTGGTGGTTAACAGGTCAGAAAGGTAATGAGGAGCGAGGTTTGAATGGCCTTGAAGGTGAGCAGAAGAAGTTTGAATATTATCCAGAATTTCACAGGGAGCCAGTGAAGTTCCTGAAGAACAGGGGTGATGTGCTGGTAGGAGGGGGTTCTGGTGATAATGCGAGCAGCAGAGTACTGAACCAGTTAAAGCTTATGGAGGGATTTTTGGGGGAGACCATGCAAAAGAGAATTGCAGTAGTCAAGCAGGAAGACTATTCCAGAGGTTTGGTGCTACAGAGGCAAAGGCACGATCAGCCCCAGTCTTCAGACGCTGCCTGGCTGGGCCAGAAGTAACTGACGGCTGGGAGTATGGAGACTGAGGAGGTATATAAATAGTGCCATCATCTGGATAGTAGCTTTAGCAGATGTCATGTGTGGTGGATAGATCAATTCAGTTTTAAAGTTATAAACATGTGTTTCTCTACAGGTAAAGCATGGTCACCTTCAGGCCTTTTGAACCCGGCATCCCCGGGACTCCAAGCTTCCCCTAAACAGATGGGGTACACAATCAGGTACAAACACAGTGTGAACTCTTTGACACGCCTCTGTTTAATGCAATAGTAAGAGCTTTTTCAATGCACTGATTGGTCGGTGCCTTCAGTCACAGATGTAAAAAAACAACAATTAACAGCGCAGTCATGCAAGTACAGAGTAAGAACTTTAACCATATAGGAACCTTAATACCAGGTTCTCCTTGAAGTCCCCTCGCTCCCGATGTCCCCATCTGTCCCTGCAATAGCAAATAAATACATAAATAATACAAACATAAGTATCTATACTGAACATGTTGTCACTTATACTCACAACAGGACCAGGGATTCCAGAAAATCCCGCTCGACCTTCCCGACCCTTCGACAAGAAGAATGACTGTTAATGGTTTGGAAATGTTACAACACTGCTCCCTCTACAATACTACAGTTCACATATTTTTGTGTGAAAATATGTGAACTTTTCACAATATTAAAAGTAAGAAAAACTGAAAAACACCTCCTTTGCAATTTTATGTTGACTTTGCTTTTTAAAATGTCTTTTAAATAGTTTGGCATCTGATCTTTAAGGTCACACTGAGATATGTAACATTCTGTCTAGGGATGGGTACCGGTATCGGTTCTGTCATAAACGGTAGTAACCAGACGGAAAAGCAGCGCACATTTCGGTGCTTTATTTTCCTGAGCTGTGATACACTTTAGATTCTAGCCAATCATTTTACGTTTCCGAGGATAGTAGGCGGGTCCAGGTACGTACGTTCTTTTAGAGCAGAGCTACAAATTAAAAATGTCCAAGGTGAAGCGGTCAAAAG